GGCGGGGACTGCGAGCGCCGGAGCCGGCCCCCTGCGCCCAGCCACTGCGCCTGGGCGCCCACCTGCGCCCGCGCAGGTGCCGCGCTGCTGGCGTTCCTGAGCCCGCTGAGCTGCGCTGTTCAGCGACTCCGAGACACGGGCCTTCCCAGTCCGCATGAGGCTCCTCGTTCCGTGCCGGCACATTCTGTGACCCCTTCATTTCTGCGAAGAGCCTCGTGCCCTTGTAAAGGTCGCTAATATCGGACAGCAATCCTACGAATAACCACAGATGTGTGAGTGGAGACTCCTCTGTGTGTCAGACTGTCCTCGCCTGTAAAGGACGCCTTCATTTGGGGAAGCACGCCTTGTCCTTTTATGCCCCCCTAACCTGCGTAAGGACACAGCTCCTATACCGCTTCATAATGCATTTTCAAACCACACCCGGAGAGGCCTCCTCCCAGTTACTCGCTATCTAGATAGGGATCCCACCCCCAGTCGTCATCAGGATATGTTTAAAAACCCCCCGAACCGGGGTGGGGGGCAGCAGTTGGTGTAATGGCTATGTCGCTGGACTCCCACGTAGTCAACCGCGGTTCGCGTCCCGGATGGTTTAAAATAAAACGCAGGCGGGGCGCATGTGCGTGCGTGCCCAGGATCCCGAGAGGAGAATGGAGGAGAAGGGATTGCGGCGAGGCCATTCCCCCCTGGGGCGGGGTGATTTCTTGCTTTCTGTTTCTCTGTCTCTCTCTGTCTCTCTGGTGAGCACACATGCCCTATAGCAAAAATCTCTCCAACAAACAAACAAAAACAAAAAAAAACTCAGAACCAATTAAGAGTTACTTCGATGGATGTAAGGACCCTGCCCTGTGCCACTCACCTTACAGTTTACAAAATAATTGAAAAGCCACTGTTTACGCTGTCTCACGAGAACGCACAGATGCTGCTCTGAGAGATGTGGAGGGAGAGTCTCTGGAGGGGCCTGCTACCTGATAGCGCAGCCTGCTGTCTGGGTTGGAGCTAAAGCTAGGAATCCCAGGGAACCAGCTGTTAGCGTAATGGCTATGTCGTTGGACTCACGCGTAGTTGACTGCGGATTGCTTCCTGGACCCGGTAGCTTAAACTCACGCTGGGCGCATGTGCGTGCGTGCCCAGGATCCCGAGAGGAGAATGGAGGAGAAGGGATTGCGGCGTGACCATCCCCCCTGGGGGGTGATTTCTCGCTTTCTGTCTCTTGGTTGTCCGGCGGACCCCCGCGCCCTAAAAAAAAAAACCCCCCCCAAAAAAAAAAAAAAAAAAAGCTAGGAATCCCAGAAATCTTGATGGAGGGCAGGGCTGAACTCCTTCACCAGGCCTGGGGGGTGAGATAGGTGAGAGAAGGGGGAGGTTAGTACTCCACTTGCCCCCCCCATATTTTGACCCAAGAAAAACGATGATAATGGTGGTAGTGGTGACAAGGATGGTGGTGATAATAGGCATGATAGTGATGGTGACAGTGATAATCATGGGGATGGGATGGGATGGGATGGGATGGGGATGGGATGGGATGGGATGTCTTTCTGGTCAAATTTTAAAAAATAAATGAATGAATAAATAAAATAAATAATTGTTTTAAAAAAATCAGACTTTTTCTTTAGTTGCTAATGGTAAAATGGGGTAATTTTTCTTTTGATAACCTTCCAAAAAAGAACAATTAGTAACAAAGCACTGAGGGCCAGCATGTGGCATGGTGGTTGGGGTGCTGGACTTCCAAGTGGCTGACTGCGTTATGAGTCTCCAACATGGCAGCTTGCCCTCTCTATCTGTCTTTTCTCTCTGGTCACATCAAAGAATAATATTATAATGTTTAAAAATAAGTACTGTGTTTAATACAATAAACATACCTGTCTTTGACAGTATGATTCTTTGAGTTTCTTGAGGTGTGTTGTCATTTTCACTTTGAAGTGAATCTCACTGCTATCCTAAGGAGATAAAAATATTAACCCCTTTTATATAAACCATTTGCTTTGCTTAAATCAAATTACTTAATTACATACAGAAAAAACAGAAACATAAACCTTGCCACCAATATTTTTCACCAAAATATTCTTTTTAGTAAGCCAGCCGCGACCTGGAGGTTACAGCTGGATCTCACAAGGCTGACTGACCACACAATTCAAGCCCCAGACCTGGTAGGCTGACAAGCATGCAAGGCTCATGTGCGTGAGTACCCAAAAAAATCCTGAAAAGGAGGGAGAAATGGAGAAGAGATTGCAGCAAGACCATGCCTCATAGGGGAGGGGATGTGCCTCTCTCTCCCCGGCCCCCAGGGAGTGCATGTGCCTTTGGAAAAAAATTTTAAAACGTGTTATTTTTAGCATTACTAGCAGTTTTGTTTTGTTTGTTTTTTAGGTTTTTGCCATAGAGCACATGGGCTCACCAGAGAGAGACGGTGAGAGGAAAAGTGAGAAACCATCCCCTAGAGGGATGGCCACACTTCAATCCCTTCTTCTCCATTCTCCTCTCGGGATCTTGGGCACGCTTACACATGCGCCTGGCACGAGTTTTAAGCCACCAGGTCTGGGACTTGAACCACGGTCAACTACATGGGAGTCCAGCAACATAGCCATTGCGCTAACTGCTGGTCCCAGATTATTTTTAACACCCATCATGCCATGAATTCATAGGGAATAGGTTCCAGTAGGTCAGGCTCCTTTCCATTGGTTCTCACAAAGTGTGCTTCTCTGGGTGGAGCAGGCTGGCGCTTTAGTTGAACCCAGGTTCCTTTCTCTTTGGCTTCTTTCTTTTTCTGGTCATTTTCCTTCACACATTGTAGGAAGCTATCTCTTCTCTTCGAATGCTTAATATGCTCAATACGCACATTAATTCTCTTGGCAAGAATCCTCCCTTTAACTTGTTTGTTCACAACAATGCTGGATAACATTGTAGACTCTTCCAGTTTTGCCATGGGAACATCTGTGGGGCATTCCTTTTTGAACAGTACCTATTCCCTTAATGTCTACGATATCACCTTTCTTGTTGATTCTCATGTATGTTGCTAAAGGAACAACTCCATGTTTTCTAAGATGCCTAGAGAACATATATCGGGTGCCTCTCCCCTTTCCCTTTGTGTTCGTCATTTTGGTTCATTACTGGAAGATGGCGGTTCCGGGCAAAAGGACATGATGGTGATCTTGATGGTGGTGGTGGTGGTGGTGGTGATGGTGGTGGTGGTGGTGGTGGTGATGGTGGTGGTGGTGGTGGTGGAGGTGGAGACGGGGAGAGTGAGGACAGCTTCTCCCATCTCCTCCCCCCCCTCGACCCAAACACACACAACCTCATCACCACCCTGGGTTTTCTCCAGCATCTCCAGTTCTTGCTAGTGTTATGTCCTGCTCTACCACTGGCCAGACGACGCACAGGGGGCTTGGACATGACGAAGCCCCTGACACGAGTGGCAGGGAGGTGCGTCAAAACCAGGCAACTGCTTTTCTACCTTGGAGTTTCCTTATCTGCAGAATGGGGGAGTGCGTGTGGTAAGATTAGCTCATCCTCACAGCTCCGTTTGGACAATCTCCTGCAGTATGCTCACACTTGTGGGGTGAACTAGCAGGACTTGCAAAGGGAGAGGATTCCAAAGACCATGAAGTACAGGACTGGCTGCGTGCATATCGGAGCGGGGGACAATGAGGCGCTCTCGGTGACGGTGTCTGCAGCTCGAGAGCAGTCAGTGCTCCACCGCCTAGGGGTCAGGCCAGACTCTCAGCCTCCACTGCCACGCCAAGTGACTGGCCGGAGCCACCCCCCCAGGTAGATAATATATATATATATATATTTTGGAGAGGTTTTCGCTATAGGGCGCGTGCGCTCGCCAGACAGAGAGAGACATAAAGACAGAAAGCGAGAAATCACCTCCCATGGGGGATGGTCACGCCGCAATCCCTTCTCCTCCATTCTCCTCTCGGGATCTTGGGCACGCACGCACACACGCCCGGCGTGAGTTTTAAGCCACCGGGTCTGGGCCGCGAACCACGGTCGACTACGTGGGAGTCCAGGACATAGCCATTACGCCAACTGCTGGTTCCCAGGTAGATAATATTTTAGAGTGACGGGTTTCCAACTCATAGGACCAAGCTCACGGTGAGAAATACATTTTACACGGTGCTCTGGTGCACACGGACACACACGTGTGCGCCAACGAAAACGTTCTGTGAAGCAGAACTGATGGCCACGTGCAATGCCCTCTGATATCCTCTGGTCTCTCTGTCAACTTCATTTCATAAACCAAACCTGGTCTCAGCCTCCTGAATTGTTTCATGACTGCCTAATGGAGTTTGCCCTGCAAACTGAAAACCACTGACCTCAATTCCCGGGAACAAGCTGGGTGGTAGAAAAGGGGATATGGGGGCCAGCAGGTGGCGTGGTGGTTAAGGTGCTGGACACTCCCACATGGCCGACCATGGTTCGAGTCCCAGACCCGGCGGCTTGCTTTCTCACTTTTCCTCTCTCTCTGTGTCTCTCTCTGGTCAAATGAAAATAAATGAATGAATAAATAAAATTAAATAATTCTTTTAAAAAGGGGGGACTAGCAGTTGGCATAATGGCTATGTCACTGGACTCCCATGTAGTCGATCGTGGTTTGAGTCCTGGACCCGGTAGCTTGAACTCATGCCAGGCACGTGTGTGCATGTGCCCAAGATCCCGAGAGGAGAATGGAGGAGAAGGGATTGTGGCGTGACCATCCCCCCTGGGGGGTGATTTCTCGCTTTCTGTCTCTGTCTCTTTCTGTCTTTTTGGCAAGACATGCATCCTACAGAAAAAAAAAATATCTCTCCAAAAACAAAAAGGGGGGTACCTTTTACTAAATGAAAGTAGGCAATGTCAGCTTTCAGGGGGAATGAAGTGCTTCCTTCCTGCCCCTCTGCCCATCCCCATGTGTGTGCACACGCGCACACACACACACGCACACACACACGCACACAC